AAGAATTTATTTGAGCCAAACTGATGACATATGCCTGGGAACAAGATCTCAAATATTCCAGAGAATTAACAATTTTGCACCTTCTTTTATACATTTGAAATTAAGAAAGAATACATAGAAATGGGAAAAGCAACATGGAGATTGGATTAGAGGATTGTTAACAAGATTATGGGCTGTCTTGAGGATGGTTGCACTTACTTCAAAAGGCGTGATAACCTATGCACAAAAACAATGGGTAGGGCTTGCTTAAGGCAAAGATAAGCCTTTTACCAAAAAGTTATATGCCTGGGATATGACTAGCCACCATCACCTGCCTAGTTATGAATTTATGATCAACCACCCTGTGAGGTTACTTTCCAGAGAACCCCTTTTTTCATCCACACTACTTGAAAAATAAAATCCAGCCTTGAGAGAAATCAATGAAATTTTAAAATGCGGGAATTGAAAAGCTGTGATGAAAAGAAATAGTGGTGAACATTGAGTCTAAATGAATCAATGTATTAAAATTAGTATTAAAAGTCATAATATTTATGGCTACCAAAAAGAATGTTATTGGTAGGAAACTGGACAATTAAAGAAAAGTAATAAAATTGAGAAGTGGGGAGAAGAATAGAAAATAGTAGCTTAACTCTATGATATCATTTTCATAATAGAGTTAGTATTAATTAGAAATAAAACATATAATTAAAAAAAGATAACCACTCCGTTCTTTTAGTGCTTTTGGTAATGATTTTCATTTTAGAAGAGTTTCTAGGAAACCTTTTTCATGAAGAAGAAATATTTAATTGAAGTTTCAACATTTCCTTCAATTTCACTTAATTTCTTTTTCTTCTGTAAGTACAAGTCAGATTAAGTTTGAGTTTTATATTTACATAGTATCTTTACTATATTCTGATTTTTATGAGTGTTTAAAATTTGTATTTTATCTATATTTAACCATCTGTCATTTTGTGTGTATAAATATAAATGAAAGTTGACTGGAATGATGTTAACAGTGCTTTTCTCTTTCTGGGTAATGAGATTCCGGATAATTGTTTTAGCTTTTATGCTTGTACTTTACTCTTAGTTTAAATTCTTTACAATAGCACGTGTCAATTTTAGACAAAAATAATATAGTCTTGATGATTCAAAGTGTGTACCTCCAGATAGAAGCAATGATTAATTCTAGGTGGTATGAACGTGAGTAATCGTACTTTAATTTTATTGTTTGTATTTTTCAATAGTTTTTTTTTTTTTTTAATTTTTTTTAAGTTGAGCCATCCTGTTACCTGTTGGCAGCTCAGCGGCTGCTCAGCTCTGGCCGGGACTCGAACCGCTGTTGCTCAGAACTCAAACTGTTGAGTGAGCTCTTAACCAACTGAGCCACTCGGCTGGCCCTTCAATAGTTTTTAAATCTCCCCTCTCTCCAAAAACAAAGTACAAAGAACATGGGCTTTTGTGTAAGGTGACACAGATAATATGTTGTAGATCTTTATTCAAATCCAAGCTTTGATTCCAGAACGCATACTCTTAACCACTGACAGGTGCTAGCTTCTGTTTGATCTTAATGTTATTAGATATTTCAATCATACAGGAAAGTAATATACATCTGGGCACTCACCACTCAGATAAACAAATATTAACATTTACCCATGTTGACTTCAGACTTTTTTTAAGAAACAGAAATTTTAGATGCAGTTGAAACTGTTTACCTCTGCCTTATTCCATTCTTGTCTTTCTGTCCATACTGTAGGTAGCACATCCTGAAATTGGGGTGTTTTCTTAACCTTCCAAGGCTTTGCACCTTTACCAGACATGTTTACCTTCATAATCCTGTTTAAAAAAATAGTTTTTGTGACAACCCTGTGGGGTAGGTGTTCTTTTCCTCATTTTACAGACGAAAACACTGAGGCTCACGTGACATAACCACAGAGATCATGCTGCTGGGAGATGGCAGAGCGAGGACTGGATCTCTAGACAGTGATTCTTCTTTGATGTTCTGGGTATTTTTAATCTCTCTCCCTTTCCCCGCCACCCGTGACTCCTAGGTGATTAGAGAATTTAGGTACATTTCATTTTGATATTTGGGATGTGGCAAGGGAGGACAATTTGAGTATTTTAACACCTCATAATAATCCAGAAAAGCGGTAAAAAAATTTTTTCCTTTTCTCATCTTCCTCCAGGAAGAGCTTTGTGGGTTTTCTATGTTTAAAAAAAGTGCTTATGTCATGGATAGGATTAGCAAAAAAAAAGCCCTTGCTATTACTTCATTTTAAAGGGTGTTGAGCCCCAGAGCAAGTCCTGGGATAGGGTAAGCACTGTGTTACACTGAACCTGCCCTTGACCATGGTGTCCGTTTGTCATGGATTTTGCTCTGTGTGCCAACTGTTGTTATCTGCCTGGTCAGGTCTTGGCGTAAAGCTGGATATAGCTGACAGCTGACTGGATTAGGTAGCTGACTTCAGGAGGCCACTGACCCAACACGGGTGGGGATGTCCGCAAAAGTCCCGAGGGACAGCTCTGAAGCAGTTAGTCAATGCGTTATCATCATCTAGCCAGGGAAGGTGGTCGGAATTCCTTCTCATCAAGAATCACTGCGATTAATTTCTGAAAGCACCTAGCCCAGTGTGCACAAGGTGTGCACAAGTTACTGAGGCTCAAGGGTCAGAGCAGAAAAAGCCCCTGGACTAACTAGAATGTCCTGATGGAGCTAGCGGGAATGATAAGTAACACCTAGTTCACAGTACTGATATGAGGACTGAATGAAAAAACTCATGCACACTTTGCATATGGCTTTGCATGCATTAAGCGATCAATAAATGGTAGCTAATATTACAAACTTGCTCTTCTGTCTAGTTAGTGGGATGAGGAAGAACTGCAAACAACGGAAGTTGTTATAGTGCAGTGTTGTAGAGTATCATCTCTGGTGTCAGATGCTTGGGTATAAATCTTAGCTGTGTCACCTACTAGCTGTGCGACCATGAACAAGTTGCTTAATCTCTCTGTGCCTCTCTATGTTCATTTGCAGAACTGAGGCAGTAATAGTACCTACTTTTTAGGATTGCTATGAAGATTAGTTTGTAATTTGAAAAAGCAAAACAAAAAAACTTTACCAGAGTTCCTGGCACAAAGCAAGCACTCAGAAAGGATAAGAACTATTGTTAATGGTTAATTATTACCAATAGTTACAGACAAATTATTAGAGGAGTGTGAAAATAGAATGCGATGCTTCATGAAGTAGTAGTTTTCCACCACTGGAAAGTAGCTTCATGAGGACGTAGCTCTGAGGATTCAGATGTTGGGAAAATGAAAACATTAGGCAACTGCCAGGCTCCTCCCCTGTTAAACAGGAAGCACCGTGTGATGGCCGCTGACATGCAGACCCTGACACTGTCACCAGCTTTGTGAACCTAGTCAAGTGTCTTAATTTCTCTGTGCCTCAGGCAGGCCACTCTTCTATAAAACGGGATAAGTACAGCTTCTATCTCATGTGGTTGCTATGAAGATCAAAAGGCCGCTCCATATGTGAAGAGTGCTTAGAGTGGCGCTTTATTCCCAACCTGAGAGTCTTTCTCTCCAATTTCCATTTCTTTCTTTTCTCTGTTCCCTCTCTTCTCCTCCCCGCTCTCTTTCTGTCTCTCAAAATAGGAACCACCAAAGGCCCCTGTTGCTTTAGAACCACTTCAGGCCCTGACCCTCAAGCTGTCTCATGACTGTGAGGGGTGACTTTGCATTTTAAGTTGTTTGTTTGGGGGCTTGCACGTATGCCTGTTGAGAACGTATTTTGTCTACAATCTGTCACCCCGGTAATGAGGGTTTACTAATGAGGCTCCCGACAGACACTTTTTATTTACAGAGATGACAAATGCCACCACTTGGCTGTGCTTGAATCATTTCAAAGGCCATTGGACTCATTATAGTCATCAATACTTGCTACACGGAGGCTCATTTTGTCCAAGGGCTGCGTATAATTTGGGTTTCTGTTAATTGAATCATTTTTAATATTCCTGCAAAAAGAAGACTCTTTTAAAATCCCCGTCCTTTTACCCATCCCTGAACTTGTCTGTTTTGCAAACCATGTTTTAGACACTATTTGTTGCGCTGTTAGGACTGGGGTATCATTTGAGGATGTTTGCTAAATCCCTTAGCCTTTCTATGTCTTTAAGGCAGAGGTTGAAAACATTCACTTGAACACAGGACCCAGGCAGGTGATGGAAACAGGTGAAGAGCTGGGTAGAGGCTGGTGAGTGGGAGGCACCTGCTCTGCCTGATGGGACCAGCTGCTCCTACTGCCAGCCCACGGTGGCCATGAGGGAACACTGGCCACCACCACTGGACTTCCTGTTTTTTTTTTTTTTTTCAAAAGAAAGAGGAGGTTTTCATTTTTACGTGAAATTCCTGTATTTTTAGATGCTTTTTGGACATGTTGGCAACCAATTTGACAGACGGTTGAAGCCCGGGGGCTTCCAGATTTTGATCTGTACCAAAGGCCTAAAGCAGTCTGCAGTCATCTCTTTGCTGGTTAAAAACAAACAAATAAATGGAACAATCACCAAAAAACCAGCAGTAGACTTGTAAGAATCGATGAGAGACCTGTTTCTTTGTTTTCTCTTTGCAGACTGGTATAAGGGATACCTCCTGAAGCACAAACTGTTACAGGTAAGGCTGATTGGCTTTTGTTTGGGACAATGCTGGATATGCTTACATGGCCCCGCCACCCCTCTGGGCAGTCACCTCTCTCCACTCCCTCCCTGTGTCCTGTGCTTCCTCAGCTGTACACCTTGGTCCTCACTGGGCCTCAGCCCCCTTCTTTCACTTACTCTTTGAGGCCAACCTGCCCAGCACTCTTTTCCCTGAAACTTTTCCCTGTATGCCAGTCACGTTGATTCCTCTCTTCCTTGAGTTCCCATAGAATTGTGCATTTTTCATTTGAAATTGTTCTTCTACTGCCTTCGTTTAGAGCTGTTTGGGACACTCATCATTTCCTCACCTATGTGTCCATCATGACAGAGAAAGGACAGGGCCAGTCTCTGCCCTCAGGCAGGTCACTTGTCCCAACCTCAACTTGCACCGTGGTCTCCACGAGAGTAGGCACTTGCTTTGCTCCTTAGCTCTCCTGGTTTCTAGCGCAGTGGCCGGATGCCCCCAGTGGGCACACAGGTTGAATTTATGAAGGGCTTTCCAAGTAACTGATACAGTTTTCTTGTTAACTGAGCCAAGCTTGTGGAGAGAGGAAGTATCAGGTGCTCCTTCCTTCCTCCCTGGCATGCTGTGTTGGGAGGTACAATCCTACCTAGCTCTCTGAACAACAGTAAATCTGGGCAGAAAAAGGTCTATCACACTAGCCCACATGCAGCCAGGGACGCCGCTGCCCCAGGGCTGAACCTTTCCAGCTGTTCATGGCTGGGAAGGGCGGCTGCTTTCCTGGAACTGGGCAGGGCGCCTTGTCCCGCTCAGAGCGAGTCTTTCAAGCACGCCTGTCTTACCCACATGATGAGTGTCCACAGTGGGGCTGGAGGGTCCTTTGGAACCTAGGGCTACCATGGGATGTAGAGCAGCTGAAGAAGAACTGGAGGGAAGCTAGACATGAAAGAGTGGATTTAGAAGCCACCTCCTTGCTCTGGGTTTATTCCTTTAGAGTTTGAGAGTTTTACCTGTCAGTGGCTTTTTGGAAAAATCATGCAGACCTGGGGTCAGTTTTTTCTGTAGGGATATGTCATTGTGTTGTATTTTATGTTATGTATGTTATCTTATTTCCAACAGGGTATTTTTCCTAAGTCCTTTATCCACATCAAGGAAGTGACAATCGAGAAAAAAAGGTATTTGCCATTCATCACAAGCCTTGGCCCTGCAGTGGCTTATGGATGTCCCTGTCCTGTCTGCTTTGAAAACATGACTTGGTAGATGTGAAAGACGCTCAGCTGCTTTGTGCTGTGTTTATTTGTGTGTCTCCTTTCCCTCACTTGATGGGAGATCTAATCCAGATTGATTGGTGCTTAGATCTGATGCTGAGGGGGTATTAGTGAATTTGGAGAATCTGACTTTTCACTGGCAACTGCCTTTGAACTGTACTAATTAGATTAATCCTGAATAATGAGCTTGAAGGGTCCACCCTAGTGAAGGCGTGCATTGCAAAGGAAGTCCCCTGCATTTGCATATTGTAATTGGCTGGCTGTTGGAGGCAGTTTAGTCTCAGAACAGCAAGGCCCCTCTCTGCAGCTGTAGCTTCATGCAAATTGGCCGGCATTTTGTCTTGTTAGCATCTGGGTCTCAATTTCACACCCTTATTCTCTTCCACCTTCAATAGAAATATTGAGAACATCATTCCTGCAGAAATCCCTCTGGCACAAGAAGTGACAACGACCCTGTGGGAATGGGGCAGCATCTGGAAACAGCTCTACGTGGTGAGACTCAAAACCCTGCTCCCCGGGATGGAGGCTTCTTGCAGTCTTGGTTGGGTTTAAATTTAGAATTTTGCCTTAAGCAGGGCTGGCCAAGGTGGCTTCAGTGACAGTAGAACAAACTGCATGAAGCCATCAAGGCCCAGAGAGGTTAGGTGACTTTCTCAAAGCCACACAATGAGCTAGTGACAGAGCCTTAATAAATGGGGGTCTGATGTGATCCTTCTTTAAACTAGTACAAAAGTTGGCAAACTTGAGTATTTTTAAGAATCACCTTGAGAGCTGTTAAATAATAAAGCTTCCTTCCGTGGGGCTCTGCATTGTAATAAACTCAGGGGATTTTGATTTCAGGTCTGTTTATAACACCTTGAGAAATACTGTTCTCATATGTTAATTAACTCGTGACTGTTGTCCTCAGATCTATGAGGAAGCTTTGACCCTGGAAAAACAAACAGCGAATTTTACATGTTTTCCCCATTTTGAAGCAAATCTAATTTTAAATCCTCCTTTGATGCTTCTAAAGTTCCCAATGAAAGCAATTAGCTAAGAAAACCATTAAGCTGAGGTGAAAATCTCAACCAGGGCTCACTGCGTATTTGTTACAGCACCGTGCACACCTGGCTTACGCTCGCTATTTGTAGCCTTTCTTTTACAGCCCTAAATGTGGACTCCCATGTGGAGATTTCATAACATATGATAATTGACACATCCAATTCCATAGGTTCCCCCACAAGTTGTTAGGAAAGTTTGGGGGGCAAACAGTAGACTTGAGGCTAATTACTCATCTCCATTACCCCTTTGAGCACATCGCATACACATGCACCATGGAGGCTAGGCATCGTCCCTTGAGAAAGCTTTGGACAGCAAGTCCATCGTGCCCGTTACCCCAGTAAAAAGATCCTTAAACTTCCAGTATCCCAGTGTCATCTTCATGAGTCCCACTTGTCCACATACCATCTGTGTAATATTTACTTACTATCTAACTCGGCTCCCGTTTTAGTAAACTTAAATAACTTCCATAAGGAACTGTACATCAAACTGTCATTCCAACAACAGCAAACACCAACCGATGCCCTACAATTCAGTTCAGCTCGAACACTGACTACCAGAGTTAGCGTCAGATTCCCGAGGTGAAAGGGCTCAGTCCTGCAGGGTTACCCTCACCTCACGTGCCCAGTCACAAGTCCCAGGTCCCCAGGCTACCTGCACTTCTGTCCAAACTTGGTACGAATTCGGGGGTTCCTACGATTTCTCTCCACCCCCGCCTCAGGTTCCACAATTCCCTAGAACAACTCGTAGGGCTCTGGAAAGAGCTGTATTTAGGATTACCGTTTTATTATAAAGGATGCAAGGCAGGAACAGCCAAATGGCAGAGACACAGCAGGGCAAAGTACTGGGGTGGGGCGGGCATAGAACTTCTGTGCCTTCTCCTGGTGTGCCACACTCTCAGCTTACTGAGACATTCACCATCTAGGAAGCTCCTTGAACCTTGTTATCTAGAGTTTTAATCAAAGTTTTATTATAGTCACGATTGATTAAATCATTGGCCATTGGTGATTGAACTCAATCTCTAGCCTCTGTCCCCTCCCTCCCTGGAGGTTGGAAGTGGGGGAGGGGAAGGGAGTGGGACTGAAAATCCCCACTTTCCAATCGCATGGTTGGTTCCTCTGGTATCCAGCCCCCATCCTGAGGTTACCCAGGGGGACTACCGGGAGTCGCGTCATCAGCGCAAATCCAGGTATGGTCAAAGGGCTCATGATGTATAAGAAAAGACACTCCTATCACTCAGAAAGTTTCAAGGGTCTTAGGAACTCTGTGTCAAGACCCAGGGACAAAGAGCAAAAATATATTTTATTATACCACACATGGTTTCCCAAACGGAAAGCCAAAAGTACTTGACACAGTTAAAACATTATTCAAGTAAACACACTGCAAGCAAGGCAAGGTTATTAAATGCTTGCATAGTACCTGTCAAAAACTCTTAAGTCTAAAACCTCCTCTCTCTCTTTGTTAAAAAAAAAAAAAGAAATTAACAAATGTGAGAGGGTTTAAAGACATATATTATAATGAAACTAGAACTTTCTCCATCCCTTAAACAGAAGGATGGAAGGAGAGTGGAAGAGAAGCATCACACAGGCAGACCCAGGTCATTTGATGTTATGCTTTTGTGCCACCAAAAACCATTTATGACCCACAGGTTCTACACATATCACACCTGGGGAAACATGGTCCTCGAAATGGGCCTTGATCACCAGAGAAATGGCCCGGGTCCCTGCCTTCCAGGTCCCGAGCTCTAGGACCTGCACCACAGCTGCAGGGGTGGAGACACTTTCACTTCTTCCCTTCTAGATTCTTTGGCTGGTCTAGTAATTAAGTTGATATAAGACAGCTTAATAGGAGGAAAACAAATTTAATTTCATACCTGTGGGAGCCCCAAAGATATGAGACTCAAAAAGGCAGCCAGGCAATGGAGGCTTATCTCAGATACTGAGCGGAGGAAAGGGGGGAGGGACCTGGGAGTGCCAGGGGGAAGGAAGGCGGGCATTGGCAGGAAGGGAGAGAAGACGTCTGAAAACCCAGGTTGCCCTGCTATGCAGGTAAGTTTCTTTGGTAAAAGGTATCCCTGGTAACAGCTCTCTTCCTGGTACCGGCTCCCTTTCCAATACAAGTTTAGGCAGTTGAGGGGGAGGCAAAGAGCTTTTCCTGAATCTGCCTGCTTTTGATTGCCTTTAGCTCAAAATAATCCTCATGCCAAAGAAACACATTTTGGGGTGGCAAAAATCTGCTCCCCTTCACAGCAGATGTGCACGGTATTCCTGCTGAAGTGTCTTTTCAGATAAGAGTCAGAAATCACCCTTTCTTTAACCAAGAAGTGATTGGGATGGTAACTTTTGTTTTTGGGAAAGCCCTGTGGCCTGGAGAAAGGGGGGTGAGTGGGAAATATGTCAACGGGCAAGACCAGCACCCAGTCCTCTTGTAGCAGAGTAGGGGGCCAGGCAGGGTGCTCAGCCATGGCCTTGAGCATGCTCGCCTGATTTGGGGCACAGTTTGCCAAGTACACGCCCAAGCACTTTGGGCCCAGGTGACTGCGGATTGTTTCCTGTCTCCCAGGCCAGCAAGAAGGAGCGCTTCCTCCAGGTGCAGTCCATGATGTACGACCTGATGGAGTGGCGGTCCCAGCTCCTCTCAGGAACTCTGCCCAAGGACGAGCTGAAGGAGCTGAAGCAGAAAGTCACATCCAAAATCGACTACGGCAACAAGTAACCTCTCTTTCCTCTGAAAAGACGCTTTCTCCCCCTACCCTCTGCCTTCTTCCCTGACTCCCTCCCGAGAAGCTCGGCTTCATTTTGCGGTGGAGTTTGCCACTTTCTGTCTGAGACAAGGCTGTTCCCAAGGCCAAGCTTGTGCGCCTTTGTTATCGCCCTCCTGGGACCCAGGGACAGGCAAGCGGAGAGCAGCCTTGCTTGTGCAGTTGCTATTACTGGGCTGAGAGATTTAGGACACTCATTTAACCTACTTCCGAGGGGCTGAGGAGCGCAGTCATGCTGGCTTCCTTTCAGCTTAGTTGTCATTTTATTCCCACATTTACAAAATTCTCCCTGAAATCCCAGTGTGAGACTTAATGTCCCTCCCCCATCCTAAATTATCCAAGCCACACGCCATCAACTAACTCATGCAGTTACAAAAAGTGTTTCCTCCAAAGGGAATAGCAGAAATTGGTTAGAGTTTGAATGCTGTGAATTTAAGGCAAGCGCGAAACAATTTTTTTTTGAGACAGAACAACCCACTGATAATAATAGTAGTGGTAATAATATTATAACTAACATTTAATCAGGGCTTATTATGCACTCAGCTTGACGCTAAGTGTTTTAAATGCATTGTCTCATTTAATTCTTATAACCACTCTATGGGGCATGCAGTTTTATTGTCCTCGTTTTTTTCAGTTGAAGAAACTGAGGCTCTTAAAGAGGTTAAGTAACTTGTTCAGAGTCACACAGCTACTAAATGGAAGAACCAGAATTTAGATCCAGGCCGTCTGGCTCCAGAGTCCAATGGGGCTTCACCACTGAGCTATTTGGATAGCATGTGGATAGCCTCCCCTCCCTCCTGGTTATTTACATGCCCCCCCAAACAGCCTACTTATTTGTTTTGTGCATCCCGACAACGAACACGTATTGAGCGCTTAGGACTGACCTGATTTCCTGCTACGTGTCCAGGCGATAGAAATAAAAGTTCCTGTCCACTAAGAGGCCACAGTCCAATTAGGAGTGTGCTACAAGTAAGTTATTGCTATGCATTGTTGTAAGTTTGATGGCTTAAGAAGCAAGAGTGCTCTTAATTGGACTTGGAGAATGAAGTCAAGGAAGGCTTCCTGGAGGAGAGGGCTCCAAGCTAAAATTTGAAAGATAAAGAAATGTTAAGTAGGCTAATAAAAAGAGAGGGCAGGAGTGCGTGAGAAAGCATGCTATGTTCAGAGGACAGGGTAGAGTGGGCCAGAAGGCTGAAACTTCCCTGAGAGGGAAAGAGAAAGAGCCTAGTCAAAGAGAATAAGCAGGAAACTTCCCAGCAGCCGGGCTTTCTTGCCTTTGTCATATGCACGAGGAAGAAGATCTGAAGAGGAAAGTCAATGGGCCTAACTTCCAGCTGCGTCCGCTCCCAGGAGCATAGCCCTTCTGCTGGTTCCTCTGCTGGCAGCTGGCAGGCGTGTCCAAACCTGCTTATCATGCACGGCGTCCTGAAGTCACAGGCAGACTGTGCCCTGCAGCTGCCGCCGCCGCCGTGGCACCTGAGCACAGCCGTAACTGGGAGTGTGGGGCTTGAGGGAGCTTTGCCGCTTTACAGTAATGGCATCTGCCACCTTCAGGTGTTGTTTCCTCACGGGAGCTCCTGCACAAGAGGACCAAGGATGGCAGCACTCATAGGAAGCCTTCCCTGATTTCCGCCCCCCCCCCCCGTGGGTTAGGGGCTCTTGCAGGCCCTGAGCACCCCGAACAGTAATCGCCTCCTTACTTGCCTGTGTCCCCTGCTGTGCTGCGAGCTCCTTTAAGACACAGACTGTCTAACCTGTCTCTATGTGCCGGGACCAGGGTCTGCCCAGAGTAGGCGCTCAGTGAATGGCGACTCAATAAGGGCATGGATGGCGGTGACGGGAGAAAGAGTCCTCTCTGAATCAGCCTCACTCCCGCAGACCAGCGCTGGGCTTTCAGTTTCACTCAGTCCCTTTGAGGAAGTGAGACACGCTGTCCGAGAGGAGGCCCTGAGCTAAGGTGCCCCTGGCTTCTTGCTTGATGACCTCAGCTGGAAGTGAGAGAGAGAGTTGGGCACCTTAAATCAACCCTGGCCTGGTGTCTTGGGGGCTCAGAACTCTGATGCGGGGAGGGGTGGGGGCTTCCTGGAAGTGAGAAGGCCAGGCCTCGGGGCAGAGTGCCAGGAGCACAGGCCTCAGGCCGTGAGAGCCAGGGAAGCACGCTGGAAGGGTTGGTCAGAAACAGCCTTTTTCTTCCCCTCATTCACTCCGTCCCTGCATTCGGACATCAAACTTTTGTTGAGCTCCTAGGAGGCCCCAAGGACATTTACAAAATACAGCCTCTATATTTAACCACAACAAAAAGCCAGCAAGCAGAACTAATATAACTTCCTGAGTGCCTACTATCTGCCGGGTACTGTTTTAAGCACTTTCCACGTGTACCTCAGTTAAGTCTCATGACAGCTCCCTGTTGCTCAGGTGAGGAAACTGAGGCTCGCAGGGTGATTGGATCAATTTGCCCACGATGCGCTGGAAGTCGAACCAGGTTGCCTGACTCTGGGGTTTAAACTCTTACTGCAGTCCACTGCCCCCACCCCACCCCCCCACACCACCCCCAAGGACTGAGTGGATTAGTGAGCAAGGGAGGTGAATACACACTTGAGTGGGCAGTCACGCATTTCATGAGAGAAGGACAGGAGGAGCCGGGGCTGCGGGTGGGAGGCAGGGCAGGGGTGACACCTGCTCTGACCCTGGTAAGACCAGCAGGAATTATTCGGTGAAGAAATGCAGCGCAAGAGGGAGAGAGCCCAGGTGGACGGGCAACCACAGAACTAGCCATTTCTGTTTCTCTTAAGTTTTTTTTAAATGCATACCGTGGGGCTTCTCCCCTCACCCTTGTCTTGAGTTTTCACTTTATCACTTTCTTAGAAGAGAGCCGTGAGGCTACCTCCTGAGGAGAAAATGTCAAAATGCTCAGTTCTCCAAAAGGGATCGTCTGCTGTCCTGTTGGGGGGTAGCTTGTCCTGACGCCGGGTCATGGGAACCCCAACAATCCTGCCCCTTCACTCCTAACACTCCCGAGTTTCAAGCGACACTGGTAAAGGGACAACCTCTCTGGTATCCAAGGAGCGAGGGAGGAATCCTCAAATCCCATAAGAGCTGCACCCGGGAGAATGTTTTATTCACACATTTTAGAACCGAATCCGCTTTGATAAATTTTGAAGCGATAGAACTAGAGAGATCTTGGCACTGAATTATGTATCAGCTGTGCTCCTGGTTTTCCGAGGTCACGCGAGCGTCTGCTCAGCGGCCGCCGAATACATTTGTCCCCCTGAGCAGCACCCTTTCGGCAGCATCGCTGTGAAGCCTTATGAGTCACATCTAGTGGGAAGTTAATTTCCTAATGAATGTGGCCAAATGCTGAGCCTTGGCTCCCTTCCGTTTGTTTGCATTTGGATGAGATGAGAGATGTGCCTCTGAATCCGATTCTCAAATAAGAAATGAAAATTAGCCTCCTTCATTCGTCCTTACTGTCCTTCCGCAATCTGGTACTCGGTAGTGGCACCTCTTCAGAGTCTTCATCAGCCCACCTCCCTCTACCTTCTTTGTATGGACAACTGAGGTCCTCCATCTCAACATCAAGCACAAAAGCAGCTTCAGATGAGGGCCCCTGCAAACCTACCCCTTGTCCCCCAATTCCATACTTCTGTAGAGCTGATCTATGGGGGGCCTGTGGTCCTCAGAAATCAGGTGAACTTTCTGGTAGAAACTCCTCACCAATGTCCTGAAGGCTTTGCTCTCTCCTGATTTATCTTCACCTTCTCTTTTGCTTTTCAGAATCCTTGAGCTCGATCTAATTGTCAGAGATGAAGATGGAAATATCTTGGACCCTGATAACACCAGCGTCATCAGCTTGTTCCACGCCCATGAGGAAGCAACAGATAAAATCACAGAGCGTATCAAGGAAGAAATGGTGAGCTTCGGGAAACAGTCTTTGGCCAAGCAAGGCAGGCATTTAGCACACCAACCTTAAAATAACAGGGCTAATTAACCAGACTGTGTATTATTCAAGGGGACATCTGTCCTATGGTCTGAGATGATCAGTAACCACACACATTTGTGTGCTTGCTTCCAGTCGGGGGCTATTAGAACTAATGCTGCTATAAAGATCTGCATACAAATCTTTGTGTGGACATATTTTCATTCTTTTCGGATAATACCTAGTGGTAGGATTGCTGGATCATATGATAAGTGTATGTTCAACCCTTTAAGTTACCACCGTACTATCTGCCAAAAGGGCTGAATAATTTTGCATCCCATGAGCAATATATGAGAGTTCCAGCTACGTGACATTCTTGTTAACACTTGGTATTGTCAGTCTTATACCTTTAGCCATTTTGGTGGCTGTGCAGCATGATCTCACGTGGTTCAGTGGGCAGCTCCCTGGATGACCCGTGATGCTGAGCGTCTCTTCATGTGCTCACTGACCACAGCCATTTGTATCTTTTTTGTGAAGTGTCAATTCAAATATTTTGCCCATTCTAATTGTGCCAATTTTCTTATCATTTAGTTGTAAGAATTCTTTATTTTGGATACAAATTCTTTGTCAGATAGATGTTTAGCAAATATATTTTCCCCCAGCCTGTGCCTGGTCTTTTCATTTTCTTAAATGTGTCTTTCAAAAAGCAAGAGTTCTTACTTTTGATGAAGTTCACTGAAGCACATTTTTCCTTTTATACTTTGTGCTTTTTATGACACTAACTTTAGGAGGAAGGCACTGTCAGTGGTGGTATTTCCCAAGGTAAGAAAATCAAGGCCAAGACGGTCCAAGTGACTAGGCTCAGATTGCAGAAACTTTTGGTGGTAGAGCTGGGAATGATGCCTGAGTCTTCAGGCTTGAAACCTATGTGTTCTCCATATCGCGGGCCATCCTTCTGTTGTCCTAAGTGGTGCTGGGCTAATTTTCTCCATCTTCCTCCCTCCTTCCTTCCACCTCTCAGTCCAAAGACCAGCCAGATTATGGAATGTATTCCCGGATCTCCTCATCCCCTACCCACAGCCTCTATGTCTTTGTGAGAAACTTTGTGTGCAGAATTGGGGAAGACGCTGAGCTCTTCATGTCTCTGTATGACCCCAACAAGCAGATGGTCATCAGGTAGGTGTGGTCAGGATTGCTGGACTTCTCTGAATGCGGGAGGTTGGAGTGGGCGGAGCTCAGAGCATCTTTGCTTTCCATCATCACTTGTGGAGAAATTCTCACTCAGAAGAGAAACTGAGCCTAACTGAGACCGTGATCTACAATAACTTCTTTTAGGGTATGGAAGTCAGGTAGAAGTATAACTTACCACCAGATGTTTCCCAGATTGGAGGTACGGTTATAGGATTTTGTAAATAGGTTTTGATGGTTGGAAAACAATCAGAAATAACAAGATTCAGAGAGGTAGCATTGGATAGAATTAAAATAACTACTTTTGAAATGGGAGTTGAGAAACGAATGGTGAAAACCCTGTATCCCCCATGGCAGCGATGGTCTAAGAGTATGGGATCTGCAGCCTGCCTGGGTTCCCATCCTGGCCGCACCATTTACTCTTTCTTCACCTTGGACAGGTTGTTATTTTTTCTTTTAAGCTTGAGTTTCCCGTTTGCAAAATGTAAATGCCAGTCTCACAGGAACATTTCTTTCAGGCATTAATGAGAAAAATCAAACGAAGCACAGGGCCTGGCAAATGCTACCTGTGCGCCGCCAAGCGACGGTGGCTGCGGTTATTGCTACTTTAATTAATTGTTCTTGAGAATGGAGGTAGTGAGGGAGCTCCCTCATGCCTCAGCTCAGGAGGGGAAAACACCTTTGGGACTCTCCAGGGAAAGCCTTTGGCACACCTCTGGCCCCCACTGCCATCCCCCTGGCCTCGACTTGTGGTTCGGACCATCCTTCCTCTCAGGTGACCACTGTCTGTCCCCTCCAATGGGGTTTGGGGCCAACACACTGTCTCATATTTGAGGTCCTGGCCGACCCATTAGAATAGAGCTGGAACATGATTTTCTGCTTTTGTGGAGACAATGATGTCTTTCTAGCTTGGATGTTATGATTAAAAGAGAGCACACACAGTGCCTAGTGAATATGGTGCTTTAGAAAACGGTGACTCTCCTGGAGACGTTGGTGAAACATGGAGGGGCCGTCCTTCTAGACTGAACCGAGGTCTGTACCCATCTCATTTAAGCCTCACTACTCCATGCCGTCTGGGTGAGAACATGAGGCTCAAGGAGGTCGACTGACTTTCCCAAAGTCACACGTGTTTATAAATGGCAGAGCTGAGCTTTCTACCCAGGTCCATCTGGCTCCAAAGACAAGGTAGTTCCCATTTTAGTCACCAAACAACCCTCCCCTAAGAGTAATATCAACTATCCTGAGTGGCTCTCACCAGGGTTTCAGCACTGGAAGGGTGGAAAGTCATTCTTTGTAGCAAACTTACATCCCTAATATTAGAGAGCCCGACCAATTCGCCTGCTAGGCTTCAGTGGACACTGCAAACAGGTGTCCCTGCACCTTTAGAACCTACTGTGAAATGTGCTCCGTGTTGTTCCTGTCACCTGTCCCCAAGGCACCTGTGACAAAGATCCTGAAAGCACTCATAGGACCCTCCCTGCCTCTTAGAGGACTCCTCATGGCTGAACCGGCGAGGGGGCCTGGCCTCCTGACCCGTCTAAGTGATGGATGGCCTGAACCCACTCTGGGGAGAGAGGCCATGGATCGGGGAGTTGGGAGCCCTATTCCCTGATGTGTGACACTGGATGATGTGCTCGATGGGGCGTGCCTGCATGATGCCACTGAGAATGCCAGAGATGCAGAGAAACCCTCAGGAGAGTGAGGGCTGAGGAGGAGGTGGACAAAGGGAGCAGAAGCCAAAAAAGTAGAAAGCAAAGAAAGCAGAGAGGAGGGAGGCATGATACAGGAAAGGCGCGGGGGAACTTGGAAGCCTGTCCTGTGTCAGTCCCGCTCTGCCCTTCCCACTCCCGCCGGCCCGAATCCGGGCTGACATACAATGAGCCAGGGGCAAGTTCGGGCATCCTCAGTGTGGCCCCGATACGGACTGGGGAGAATTTGGCTGAGGCTGACCCTTCAGTGTTGGGATGAGTCATAGTTAGATTCCAGTGGGCACCTGAAGAGATCTGGTTTAGGAGATTTAAGGTAAATTTTTGTAGGACAAAAAAAAGAAAAAAAAAAAAAACACCGTTCAGACATCAGGCCAGTGGCAAGGCTGATTTCTAAAAAGAGCCGCAGGAGGAGTTGGAATGGGCCTCACCCTTCCCCTGAGGGGAGTGTCATGTGTGTGTGTGTGGGGGGTTCACCTGTCGGTGCCAGGTGGGCCTTCCAGATTTATCACGCAGGTCTTCCTGGGCAAGAATGGATGGGGCCAGCTCAGCCCTCTAAATTGCTTTTCTTATTTATGATTCTATTTCCTCTAGAAGAAAATTGCCGGGGCCTGCTGTTTCAACCTAGCAGAGTAGTTCTCTGTGGGGCTTGCTACATGTAATGAAAGGTCCTGGGGAATACCCACATGTTTCACTGTGACAGTTCAGAAATCACCAATGGGAAAGAATTAAAAAAAATTTTTTTTGGATGGAGACTTCCTGGTTAGTTTGCTGCAAACTTCACTAAATTTTTTAAATCTTACTGAGAAAAAAAAAAAAAAAAGAAGTGCATTTAACTAGATTAAGTTTTAACCATTGGTTAATCTGGGGCCGTGTTCATTTGTGACCAGTTGCATTTCCCTCTTGAGCTTTGTACAAATTACTCTCCTCAGTCTTCTAGGGGTGAGTGGGAAGAGGGGAACAAGATGTCAGAACAAATCTCTAAAAAGAAGGCAATTCCCTTAACTTGGCTGAATTCTCAATAAGCCTTTTTGGGGTGACTTGGTTTTGGAGCCTTATTCTGCTTTTTCCTAATTCAAGATAGTGAGCGTTTATTTAGCACCGACTGTATGCCCCTGGAGTGCATGGAACACCTAATGACTTATCTCGGCACCTGTACTAAGCTTCTCCTAAGTTAGAGAAGAGCTAGCCTTCTCTGTCCTCCCGGCACAGCTGGACTGATCAGTATGAAGCATACAGGATGCTGTATGATTGCTAGAAGATGTGAGATGATAAGTGATCATATGTTAAAACTATGGGACTGACTGCCTCTCATAAAACCCTAAAGTGAGCTCAGTTAGCCATAGGATCAAGACAGAATCCTGAGGCCCACAAGCCCTGGCCTTTCTCTCCAGTTTTTCTCTTACCAGTTTCCCCTTGGATCTGTTTCTTAGATGCACAAGCTCCCGTTCTGCCCCAGGGCCTTTGCACGCATGTTTGCTTTGCCCGAAAAATTTCCCTTTCCCACTCTCATTTCTTGGCCAACTTTATTTACGTGTCATGTCCTCAATGAAGACTTCCCTGACCACCCAGACTAGGCCAGGCTCTTCTGATACATGTTCTCACAACATCCCGAACTTTTCTTTTAGAGCACAATTGCATACAAATAGTTATTGCAACCATATTTCCATATTTACCTAAGTGTCTCTCAGATAATGGCTAAGGCCCTCTATGGTCCATCACAATGTGGTGTTCCATTCAAGGAAACATCCTACGTCTAACGGGTGATTTAAAATAATTCAAATCTTTACTCAGTCTCCAAAGGGGAATGGGATGGGAAGGGCACATGCATTCTTAATGTCCAGCCAATTGTATTAATAGCCTGTCCCCCTCACCTCTGCCCCTCAGTGGCCTCACAGGGAACACTGCAGCTCTTCAGAGAGATCAGGCTGCTGGGCCAGAAATTGCTCAGCAGGTGGGGGAGGGAAAGAGGTGGTAAATACACTTCTACAGGTAATTCCTTGCCCCTGCTAGTCTAACCTCTGTCTCCCTGACAGGACTGTGACCTCTTAGAGGGAGAGACCACATCTGCCTCGAGCACGTGTGTCCTCTGTGGCCAGCATGGCATGGGGCACACCATGGAGACTCAGTGACTAGTTTTACCCAGTGCGTGTTGAGCCCCTGACAGTAACGGGTCCCCACTTCTCTCCCATAGTGAGAACTACCTGGTGCGATGGGGCAGCAGGGGCTTCCCGAAGGAGATTGAGATGCTCAACAACCTGAAGGTCGTCTTCACGGTGGGTGCGCCCTGTCTTCCTGTCACCATGCTCCACACTCACAGGGACGTGGTCTTGGAAATGGTCAGGAGAGAGCACAGCCTCAGTGAGGGCCGTGTTCTGTGCTTTCTGCAGACCCCGGGCCGCCGGAGGGCACTGTGGGAGGGTGGATCTTCCCCTCTGTCTCCCTCCCTCTCTTCTCTTTGTCACTCGCGCACATAGAGAACACATGCAGAGAGCTACGTCAACAAGCACCAGCCTCATCCAGCAACTTTGTCTAGGTGAACTGGGTACAGCAGCTATGCTGAGTTTCTGGGTAATCCACAGTTAATCTGAGTTCCTTCCTTTGGTTCAGACCTAAAAACTTTCCTCAAGTATATCAAAAACAAAACCAGGCTTTCCTGGAACACTGACTGCCTTGGTCAACTGGACCTTCTGGACAGAAGCCATAGGTGGCTAAAGATGTTTTGGGTCCCTGGGATCATTGTAAATATTAGCACTGCCTGGACAAGACATATGTAGAAATGTGGAAATCAGTTGTTATCTGGGTGATTTATTTCTGGGAGTGATCATTGCTTTTTAGCTCTGGAAAGGAGAAACAGTGGAATGAAGGAGATAAGGGTTATCATTTTCAACAGAGACCCCCCCTCCCTTGCTCTTTTCCCAGGAGGGTGTGTTAAGAGTGTGATCCAAAGACACCTAAGGATATTGGTGGTGTCTGCAAGCTCCTCGGGGAAAAGAGCATTTCTGAGATTTTCTCACTGTGTTGCCTGTGTTAGCGAGGGAATTGACAGAGGAGGGGCCAGGGAGAGACGTGGGCATTGATCAAACTGCCAGGTTTGATCCAGGAGTGACCGACATGCTAGATTAACCTATCTTGCTCTACAATAATTTTCCTGTTACAGCCCATTAAATGCAATGTCTTATGTTATGTCACAATTAGATTGAAGTGCAACTGATTTATTTTGTTTTGCTATTTCCTAAAAAATGGGCCAGAGGAATGAGACCGTAGGTCCTAATTGCTTAGACAAAGTTTTCTTGACTTATATAAATGTGCCTCAATTCTATTTACCTATTATTAGTTAGAAGGAGGAGCCTATTTATTTTCTTGATAAATAGGAGGGTCCCGTGGGGCTTCCTGATTAAACCAGGAGACAGATGCTTCAGGAGAGGGAGAGGGACAGGGAATCAATCAGCGGTTCATTTTACAGAGAACCAATTCACGATGCAAACATGCGGGAAAGGGCATCGGTAAATTTGTGTCACTCAGCATTAATGAGAATGAGATCCTGCCTTTATGGAAGTCTGCCTGTGCCACCATCTCTTCTCTCCACAGCATACGAACTTGAGAACCTTGGTTGATTGGTGCAACAGGCTGACACTTCCCTCTCTTGAAATGATGGGAGTCTTCATTTCGGGGCAGGGAAGGTCATGGTGTTCTAGCTTCTTTTGTTGACTAAAGGGCTATCCAGTGAGTATCCACTGTATGTACGTTCTGTGCTCATTGCTGAGGATACAGCAGAGAATAAGCTGATAGGCCCCTGCTCACATGGTATGTTG